GCATATAGTGGCGTTTAATAATTAGCATTTAAAACTTAAACAGGGCAAGCTGATTTATGGCAAACTAGGCGCAGAATGTGTATGCTGGCAATTCCGGTGGTGACGCTCTCATCGGCCAAAAAGTGAGTCCAGGCCTTAGGGTCGGGCGCGTCGGCCATAGCATTGAATGTCACGTCAAACAGAATGTCGAGTAATCCGTTGTTTTCGCTTTCGTACTGATCGTCGGTTTCGAACAATGTTTTATAAGTGTTGGCAACGGATGGTATGAAATCTATGGGTTGTGTGTAATAATTAATTGCAATTAATCTAGCTTGAAACAAGGTCAGAACCCAGGCATAGCGCCAGGTTTAGCCGCAATTCGTGTTGTGCTCAAATAATTGAAAATAGCACTTATTTTGTTTGCGTTTTAACCACAATTCAGCGATGAATTTTGTGGTTTATAAGATCACCCCGCTAACCACTCCCTCCCGCTTTATGGAATTACAGCTTAAGTCTATGGCTATACTTTAACATAGGTAAAGATAATATTACGAAGCCTTTTCCATAAACTTACATGGGCTAATGTTATCCTATGGGTAATTTTAATCTTATTTTAATCTTAATTTAATTTAATCAATAAATACATCATATTAAAGTACGTACCCATAATTTCACGACGTTTTAGGGGATATGAGTGTTGATCATGCTCAAAAACGTCAATAACCATACCGGAATTGTCTAACAGTTGTCGCCACTCAGCCAACTGTTGGTCGGTTGACGGACACCACTGCCTGCGCCCCTCATTGAGACCCAATATACGGTTCACATCTGTAAAAAGCATAATATTGGCGTAAATTTTACCGCCGGAGGCCAACAATCGCCGACATATAGACATCAACTGTTGTTTGGCCCGAATGTGTTGGAAGGAGAAGTTGGCGAATATCATGCCCGCACTGCCCTCCAGGGCCCGCATCTCTGGGCTCAGGTTCGGCCACGCGATCGACATGTCTTGCCTCACGTACTGAATGGTGGGCGCGTTGTTGTGCCGCTGGGCGTACTCTAAATATGCCGCGTCCACGTCGACGGCCACTACACGTTTGTGCGGCACACGACTGGCCAACTGTTTAGTGATACCCCCTTCGCCGCAACCTATTTCTACAATAGTGTCATATGTCCTGTGATTTACATATTTTTAAATAAGTTGAATGTAATTAAACTTGATGTTTAATATTGATATGCCAAATTATTCATAATAAAATACAGTATAACTTAATGTTAGTATGAACAATTACAAACAATTTGATATACTGATCATTAAAATTAACCTTGTAGATTTTTTATGACAAACAGTCGGAATTGTGTAGATTTTATTACTATAATACACAATACTCATAGCCATTTTGTTTACGAAGAAATTCCTAATATTTTACGTATCACATTATATTTTATTTTGAACAATTTGATTTATAGTTTGTCAAAATAGAATAAATAATTTTTGTAATTATTTACTTATTAAAGTTTGCTTATTATCAACCCTAGTAGTTAACAAAAATATGTAGTTAACATAGGTTATTTAGAAGGTAAACATAAATGTAGGGCCATAATAAGTAACAAAGTTATTTATGAATCAAAATTATCGTTATAATTAATCAAATATTCTATTAAATGTTTAATGTTAATGAAAAGTTATATTGATAATGTTCAAGAATCTACATACTCATTTTGGCCATTAATTAAATCGAACGTTTTGAGCGCATAAATGCGATGTGGGTAATTTTGTGTGGCGTAAATTTCTGGCGAGGTCTTCATTTTAATAAACCAAGAGTAGAAATTTAACTGCAATATTATTTGATTAATTTAATTAAATTATTTAATTACTAGATATATTTTTACTATGTTATAAATTTTTAGTTGAAAATCTACTAAATATACTATAAAAAATATAATTAACATTAAATATTAGTCTTTCAAAAGATTCCAACACTTTTTGGTTTTAGCAAAATGTAAATGCAAAAGATTACATGTAAATGTTCTTGTATACAAATGATTTTGCATATAATTTACATTATTGTTTTAATAAAATAATATGACCATAAATGTCTAGACTCATACGGCAAATAGTGAATATTACATTAACGGATCTAACAAAAGTGAACTTTTGAATATTTGAAATACACAGAATGCAATTGATATACATGATTTAACAATTTATATGGTTGTATTTTCAAATAAATGATTTGCAAACTTATTTTTAAATTCCGTTTTATTGAGAACACAGCGACAATATTGAAGTTTACAAGGAGCAATTGTGCCATTGCAATTGTACTAGATCATTCGATTAAAACTATGGCAAATAAATCGCTAAAAGTGCTATTTGTGCCGCTTTTAAACGCGGGTCACGTGAATCCCTGTATAGCTATTGCGGAACAGTTGATAGATAGCGGACACCGAGCGGTGTTTGCTGTGGACAGCGTTTGGTCGGGAAAACTGACCGCTTATGGCATCGATGAGATAGTATTGGCCAAAACGGATCGACCGCTTCATTCACCGAACGATACGCCGGACGCGACCCGAGAAATGATGGCATCGGTTATGTTTAGCGACGCGTCGGCCCTTCAGAAGGCTATAATCCGCGCAAAACACTCCGATTTGTGGACAAAATACGCAATAAAAATGGACAAACAGTTGGAGCGACTGTTGCCCGACATTCGTCCCGATGTTATAATCGTGGATCAGTTGATAGCACTGCCGGCGGTGGAGTTGTCGGGCATACCGTGTGTGTGGGTCTGGAGCGGTGGCATTCTTGAGATGGTTAACGATGAGAGGGCACCGCCTCGACAATCAGGTGTGTGATAAACATCCCTAAATGCTATAGAGTTTACATTACAATCCATAGGACTGTCCGCTACGGGAGACCAGAAATTATGGCAAGAATTTCGGCAAATCGTTAAAAATAACGAGAAAGACGAGTGGCGGGCGTTCAACCACTATGTGGTCGGTCGGGGCTGCGAACCACTGCCCGAATATTACTTCCATAACCCCTCACATTATCTCAATATATACGGCTATCCCCTGGAGTTGGACTATCAGGACATCCGGCCGTTGGGCCGCAATTTTGTTGAATTTGATCATTTCATGCGCACTGAACGGCACCTGACATTTGCAGTTCCGCCAGAGTTGGCCGCAAAGCCGGGAAAATTGGTGTACTTCTCGCTCGGCTCTATTGCTTCAATGGATGTGTCAAATATGCGCCGACTTGTGGCCATTTTGGCCAAATCTCCGCATCGGTTCATCGTATCAAAGGGTCCGTTGCATATGGACTACACTCTGGCCGACAATATGTGGGGCGAGGCGTCTGTGCCTCAGATCCAAGTCCTGCCGCTCGTAGATCTGGTGCTAACACACGGCGGCATCAATACTGTCACCGAAAGCCTATACTTCGGCCGACCGATGATAGCTATGCCTGTATTCGGTGAGCAGTACGACAACGCACAGCGATTGCAGGACAAGGGCTTTGGTCTCCGATTGGACGCCTACCGGTGCTCAGAGAAGGAGTTGTTGGCAGCGATTGAGACTCTACTGTCTGATCGCCGATTGACTGAACGCTTGGCCGAAGTCTCCCGAAGAATACAAACGGATAATAGTTTAGCAAAAGTGTCAAAACTTATTGAAGATTTTGTTCAAAATCGGCACAAATATATCGATTAGAAGTTTAATTTGAATTTCTCTTACAACTTATATTAAATTATATTTATTATAATATTTCAAATGGAACATGACAATTTAAGGAATTTTTAATGATTTTGATGCTTAATTTCATTAAGATATAAGTGTTTTATTATGATTTACTTAGCTAAATAATCTTTAGTTAAAGTAAATTATTAGTCTTAAATCACAAGTTATTGGGTTTCTGATATTAAATAAATTATATTTTTGTTAACCAAGGTTTTCTAAAAAATAAGTTGATGTATCATAATTACAGTTAAGCGAATCAACATTTGAGACAAAACCGATGATAACAGTAACTAAAGTAATAGTTCAATAGGCGATCATACTGTAGATAAAGGAAACGCAATTAAAATAATTACTAATATTAACTATATACATTTTATATTGTTTTTAAAATTTAAATAAATTATAATTAATTCTATAAGTTAATTATTAATACATAAATATAAATATGTGCCGAAATGTTAAATTATTGCACAATTATTACAAAAAGAATATTAAATAATAAATTATTATTTATTAACTGATTTTATTTAAATGTCAAACCACTTATATAAAAAATACACTTGATAATTTCTAGGAAAGCATTTATAAATCACTTGAAAAACATTTATAAGTAAATAAAATTCATTCGGTTTTATCACAATTATAAAGATATCTAAAATAATAATTTTTTGTATCCTTTTTGTGTAGTTTTTTACGCTATTATATTTGAAAAATCTATTGTAATATAAATAGACATTTAATTATGACTTTATTATTGAGTAAGTTTTTATAAATTAATATATTTTAAAATAAAACTAATTTTTATATTTTGTTTATTGAGACTCAAACATGATTATTATAAAATAGATTTGACATTGGTTATAATATTATTGGCAAACATTGGGCCAATTCTATGCAAATGTCCGGACCCTAAAGAAATCTTACCATGTTATGGATGCGTTGACAATTTTATTGTATGTTCGGGCGATAATTACATAGATTTAGTGAAAGTGTTTAATATACTCAATGAAACATTAGAACCGAATGAAAAGCATTTCATTTCCTTTACATTTAATAACACAAAAGTAACTGAAATTACTGCCAACACATTCGCTGACATTAGTTTCGCAAAAATTGAAATATACAAAACAAACTTGGTGACCATTGACCAGGATGCATTCACCGCATCGCACAACGTGGCCAAACAGTTTATTATCTCTGATAACGACATGTTAAAACAGAACACCATCTACGAGTTGATGAGTAAATTCACCAATCTCATTATTGTACAACTAGATGATAACGACAAATTCACCATGGTGCCCGACAACGCGTTTGGCAATCAGCCAAAACTTAAACAATTAACCATTCGCTCGGCAGAAAAGTCTATTGGGAGCCACGCGTTCAGTGGGTTAACCGGTTTGCGTACGTTAAACGTTAACTATGACCAGTTGTCACACATCAGCGCCAATGCCTTTGCCATCGATAAGCACAGTAACGAGTCATTGACTATTAGTCTCAATCGTAATCTTCTTAATGAAAATAGTTTTGACCAGGATGCTTTTGTCGGCATAAACCGTCCCACTCTTATTGATTTAAGTGGGCAAGATCCGTATATCATATATTTACCCCAGCACATATTTTTGCCTTTTCTTACAGCTCATGCCGATAATAAGTTTAAAATGGATGAAGGATGGCTTGGTGAATTTGATTGCCAGGATTGTCGTTCCTATTGGATTAAAGAGCATAATATGTTCGATAAAATACTAGATTTAAAATGTTCTCATGATAAACAGTTAACCGATAAAGATAACTGGCAACTTTGCTAACTGTTTCGCTTACATAATATGTGTAAAACTTATACTAATTTTATTTTCAAATTATTCAATTAAATTATGTAAGTTTACTAATAAATAAATGTACTTAAATATTACTATTAATATTTAACTTGAATAAAAACTCACGTAAAATGCAAAGGATTGTTTTAAATTTAATATTTGGTTTTAATGTCTGTATTTAAAAATAAAAGCTAATTGTGATTATTGCTGTTAAAAATAAGTCATATTATTAAAAGTAATGGGATTCAAAGTTAGTAAACATAAGTTTGATTTGAAAAAGCTCATCTCACATATAAAAATATTGTTTTTACAGTAACGGAGTAGAAAGTGTAAAACATTCGTAACTGTACATTTACTGTAACTTTTGTAACAGTTTTTTGGGTTGACTTTTAAAGTGATGGTAAGTAATTACGACCTTTATTTAATTAACAGTTATAATTTATAAGTTATAAGCTGACAAATATTTTAATTATTTTTTATCTAGAGTAAATTAATATATGACTATCATTATAATAACTAACCTTTATTTTACTATCGAGAAAGTATAAAATAAATTATCATCAAAAATGTATAAATTGTATCATATATATTTGAATAAAATTGAACATGCTAATATCCTAATATTGTTTCTTTTAAAGTATAATTGATCAAAATAAATCCAATACGTGTTTAAAGGCCGCGTCGATTGTTAATCTCTGGCCGACGACCACTTCAGCCATATAATTGAACACTTGGTTGAAACACCCCCTCCGCCGCCAATAACTCTTTGCCTGTGACTGTTATTCGGTGTCGTTTTTAACGTTATATTAACTATATTACTGTTTAGTGTCGTTGTTTAGTGTTTAATACAGTAACAATCTAACTTATGATTGGGGCAAAGCTATTTATAACTTGACGTGGTTACTGTATTACCTTGATAATTTATAACCCATTATATGAGTAAGACATGAATAGAGTATAAATTACATAGCAATAAAATTGATCTGACGCTGATCTGACCCATACATAGTTAGATTCTAACTAATAATTGAAAATAATAGAGTTTTAGACCTTGAGAGTTTTAGATTTCAATAAACTGTGTTTCAGCCTGTGTAGTTGGCTAAAATCCGAGCACATATTGAGTATAGAGATAGTGAATGAAATTATTGCTTGCATTCAATACAAATGTGATTCACATTTGACTCATTAGACAATTGGCTGAATGACTGTAATTGAATGACCTCGTATTTTATTAAATGATGCATGTTATTTTTGTTAAATACCTTATGGTATTTTTACACTGAGCGTGTAACGTTATTAACAGATAAATTGTATAATTATAAATATAAAGTAAATACATTAAATGAATAGAATTTTAATTAAAAATAATTATAAATAAAATACTAATTACTTGACGGTATGTTTATATAAGTTTAAAGCCATATTTTATTTTAAAACAATATACATTTATTTAACTAAAAATTATTTAATTTTGATCATTCATTTTTAGTCATTTTAATATGAAAATTATCATTATTCTTGGATTTGTTACTTTAGGTAAGTATTACATCTCTAATAGAGAGGGAGAGAGAAAGAAATTACTAATAAGTTTAAAAATTAATGTGCAAGGTAGTTATTGTTGGTGCAATACCTATCTTTTTCGAACCCGATCTTTACGATATAGTATCAAATAAGTATGAATTCATGGGTACGGGTACTAAACTGCCCGAAACATTGTACGACATTAATGAGATGTGTAAATTACGGGGCGATTTTACCAATAACCAAAGCACTTTGTGAGTAAACTCACGTTAAGTTACAAATTTCTCACCACAACCATAAAAATGAGATACTTTTATTTAGAATTAGAAGCATGGTTAATTAAATTGTACTCTATTCAATCAGCGCAAAAATAATTATAAATAAAATACTAATTACTTGACGGTATGTTTATATAAGTTTAAAGCCATATTTTATTTTAAAACAATATACATTTATTTAACTAAAAATTATTTAATTTTGATCATTCATTTTTAGCCATTTTAATATGAAAATTATCATTATTTTTGGATTTGTTACTTTAGGTAAGTATTACATCTCTAATAGAGATGGAGAAAGAAAGAAATTACTAATAAGTTTAAAAATTAATGTGCAAGGTAGTTATTGTTGGCGCAATACCTATCTTGGTAGAACCCGATCTTTACGATATAGTATCAAATAGATATGAATTCATGGGTACGGGTACTAAACTGCCCGAAACATTGTACGACATTAATGAGATGTGTAAATTACGGGGCGATTTTACCAACAACCAAAGCACTTTGTGAGTAAACTCACGTTAAGTTACAAATTTCTCACCACAACCATAAAAATGAGATACTTTTATTTAGAATTAGAAGCATGGTTAATTAAATTGTACTCTATTCAATCAGCGCA